TAGCATCGTGGACATTGGCCTTAAGAAGATGAAGCTAAGACAGAGGCAGGCGGATGCTACAAGCGTTCTCCTTCCCTTTAGCAAAAGAAGGAGAACGCTTTCAAACATTTGCAGCACGGGTCACACTACCGCCAAGTTTGAGACAAATGGCGCCGGTTATTCCGATCCCTTCCCAGAGAATCCCACCGGTCGCGGCGATCGGGCAGCGCGTCGCGAGCGCAGTCAAGAGTACGGTAGCGACGTTAACGATGATTTTAACAGTAGCGAGGCAGGGAAAGTAAACGAGAGTAGTCGTCCGCGCTTAGCCAGAGCCAACGCGCAGCTGCCGAGACCGCTCTCGCGATTGATCCTGCTTTGTTTATCCGCTCGGCTGTTCTCACGCGAGTCACAGTATTTACGAACGTCGCTCACACAACCTTCCGACCTCTTGTTCAAACGTGTGGGCTGGTGTTCGATTCTTCAATTCATTCGAAAGGGAAACGTATGCGAAAATTCTGCTCTTACAGAAAAGTTGCAGGTCGATTGGCTATTCGCATGGTTTTTAACCAGTCGATTTTCAACTTTTCTGCGAGGGCGCAATTTTCGAAAACGTTTCTCTTTCGGACGAATTCAAGAATCGAGCACCAGGGCCGTCTCCCCGGATCTCTCGTGATCACAGAATGGAGATGCCGTATATTGTCGCGAGATATCGCCGCGATTTTCAATCTTCTTCAATCGCGACAGCCGTTTGATTGCCGTTTCGCTAATCGTAACTGACGTCGCGTACAAGTCACGTTAACTCGCTAATTAATTAGTCGCAGCGCATTCTGGCACGCGCGTCTCTCTCACACGCACCTACGTCTATCCAGCTACGATATATCCCGCGAGAGCCCGAAAGACTTAAACCGGAAGAGATATCCGCGGCGGATATTGCACATTTTAGAATTTACCGTTGATAATTAGGCCTCGTTCTATCGCCACGAGTGTAAAGTATGATTATATTGCAGTTTTATAAACGCAAGACTCTCTACGACAGTCGCTCTCTACAGATTCTGAGAGAAAAATCTAATTCCCCCCCCCCTCTTTCATTTCCCTCTTACTGTAAGCATAATGAAATATTATCTTGTCCGCAGCGAACCGCGGCGTCGAGATCTCGTTACACTCTTCGTCGCGTTCGTTTTGGTAGACTGGCAGCGAGCGACGCCGTCGACTTGACACGAATATCTTGTAGTTCGCAGGACATTCTTCAACGATTCGCCGACGCGCGTTTCGCGTGTTTACGATCTCGCGCAGAGAGACGCATTCTCCGACGCGACGAGGAGCCGCGCGAAAACTTCGTCGTTAACGTACTAACGCGACGTTAATTAACGTGTAATTAATCGGCCGCGGTTCGCTGCTCACGCGAGGCGCCGCTGACATCTGTCCCTCCTTCGTCCCTTTCGCTCAACTGCAATTCGCGTTGCAGTCGCTCGCGGCAGACGCCGGCTCGCTTCTCCCATTGTCTCGAATTATTTTCGCAGCCTCGTTCGCGGGGAAACACTTTTCATGGCAGTTGATTTGTAATCTACGCTAATCGTCCCTAATTGACGGAGTCGATAGGCGACTGGGGCCAGTCGCATGCGACGATATCACTGTGTAAAGTTATCTTAATTCATATTTAACGCTACATCTCGCATGAATTCGCCAACGGCCGCGACGAAACGACGACGTCGTCGATCGCGAGGAGAAATAAAACGGAAATTCCTCAAAGTCGTTGTATGCGCGTTTGTGTGTGTGTGTGTGCGTGCGTGGGGAGAATTTTCTCTTAGAATTTCCCCTCTGAAAATCATGGTAGCCATGGCACTTCGAAGAATTTTACGAGAGCTTTTACAATGGAAAAATATTAATATCGTCTACAATTAAATATAAAATATGATTAATTTTGCTAAAATACATAGTGCAATTTCAAAAAGCTCTCGCAAAATTTTTGTCCCGCCGCTACCGCGACTCTCAGGGTAAATTCTAAAAGGGAATTCTCCCCGGATTCATTGACATTTACTTTTAAAGACGCGATATTTCTTAAGTGTATAAAAGAATCGCGATAAATTTAAATCTGGATTTGAAACCTAAACCGTGGTTATATTCCGTCTCGGAATGGCAGTGACTGAATCGTTTTCGTTCCATTTATACATTACATGTATTCTAAAACGCGTATTCTGCCGTTAATTTTACCTACTAAACACACACACTCCTCAACACCACGCACGCGAGACGATCAACGTTCTCACAAAAGAAAGACCTCGTCGAGAAACCAGATAGAATTCTCGCCGCTTTCGGCAGGCCGAGTAAATTAATTATCGCTCTGCAATAATTGAAATTAACAATTAAATTACATATATTTCGAAGCTCCTACTGTTGGTCAGTTCAAGGAATTCACCAGCGTGCTTTTTCTCGCGTACAACTGTTTCACCTTCCTATTAACTTATTATATCTTGTCTCGCAGAGAATATTCGGGTCTTTGACTTTGGATCGTACACCTAATGTGCCATCTAATTATCATCTCGGTATATTAACGCCGCGATAAATTCTTCCACACAAATATTGACTTGGATCTTTTTAGCATCGTTAGTTCTTTCCTCTCGTTGATTCCGGGAAAATGTTGACAATGAATTCCGTATTCTGGTCATAGGATCCCGCGTGAAAGCGCGAAAAGTTGATTGAATTTCCCGGAGTAATACAAAACTGAGCCCCGTCTCCGATTAAATCGAAGCGCTCGAGGTCGACGCAATCTTCCCTATCGGCCGTGATCTTTTTTAAGATCAACGATGATCTCTACAATCCCTTGACGAAATAATTCCTCGTCAGAAAGGCATCTTTCAATAGAAATACGAGAAATTCATTTGATTCGGAGCGACATCGACGCCTCGACGAATGCCCGTCATCTCAATGGCATCGAGCGAGCTAATTTTTCAGCTATAACGCAACACGCACACACATACACACGTAGTCACTCCTGTCACTGTATGATCGCGACGACGACGTCCGAGGCAGCTGCGCTTCTCTCCCGAGCGGTCCTCCTCAACGTCGAACTTGCCGGCGAGTTGAAGGAAGGAGTCGCCGGACTGCTCCTCCGCAATCGTCCGTCGACTGTCATCGGTGTTGATTCGGGCACTGCGATCCTCGCCAAGAGGACGAGCCTTTTCGGGGCCTCCTACGCCGGCGCCTGCACCACCGGCCTGTGGATCGGCACCGAGATCACGTAGATGTCCAGCTTCTCGCCGGACGTCTTGTCGACGATCTCGCCGTAGTTGACAGAATCGTAAGAAGGCGGGGCGAACAAGTGGTAAGGCGGCGGCGGGGTCTCCGTGACTCCGGTTGTGTTTATTGTCTCGGCACGCTGCGCGTAGGGCACCGTCAGGGGTCGACCGCCCCGTCGACAGCACCATTCGGAGCAGCTGACGATGAGGAAGAACGCCACCAAGCCGCCAAACGAGCCGATGTACCAGACTATCGACCACGGGTCCAACGGGTTCTGCAGCTCGCCATTGACTACAACAAAATAGGGACCTGTGAGCGAGGAGCTCGTTAATAATCGGGAATGTCTTGATTTCGCAAACTACTACTCGTGCGAGGGGATGCAATCGGAATGGCATTCACGTACCGCAATCAATTGGTATACTACGTGTAAGAATAATGAAAAAAGAAATTGATGTTAAAAGACAAAGGCAGAAGAGCCAGAGCAGGTTGTTGGTGCCAACCAGTGTATTTAGAAACAAAATATAAATAAACGACGCACCATCGGGCACTCTTTAATATTAAATAGTGTTGCAAGTAAATCGCAAAGTGGTGTGAAGCATAAATTAAATACAAAACGCATACAGCTGGTCGTAAGGCAAAAACGCCGGTTTAAAAAGAAAACGAATGAAGAAAAGTACTCTCTACGTTGCACGTGTGAATAACATGCCGTTTCGAATACTGGACTTGAGGATCGCTGGGAAGTTTGGTGAACCGGAAACTTTTGCAACGAACGACGGGATACTTTTGACACATTGTTTCCGGGAAATCAAAGCGGTAGGCAATATCCTGGGCTGTGTGAGAGGCGTATAAACAGCCGTTTCCTTGAGATCCACGTTACTCTTCGTTTGCTTTAAGATGCCGTAGAAACGTGAGACGATGAGCGTTGAATTTAAAATTAGTTTCGCCGCTGTTAACGGCTCATCAAGAACACTATTGTCCAGTTTCTCAAATTTACATATTAGATTTGCAAATGTTGTTTGCCCATCGTGCGTAGCGCGTTTTTGCCGCTCTGTATCGAAGAGGCTGGCAGGTGGTAATGTAAAAAAATCGATTTCACATTCGCGCGATAGGGTCAGACGTATATTTTGCATTCTTGATACTCGCGGTACGACCGTCGCGTGGAAAATTTCCGAAACTACTACTCCTTTTCCCCGATCAGTGACGCGTACGACGCGCGGAGCAGACATTCTCGATCGCCGTTAATGCGCGATGTGTACAATGCGAACTCAGAAAGGCGATGCAAATGAAGATGGAACTACTACACATTTGCATAAATCCTTGGCGCGCGCGGATTGTTCTCTCCGCAGGTGTGATTTTAACAGGATGCGCGCGAACCTGAGAGAGAGAGCTCGGCTTCGAAATCTCGGCTTCGTCTCGCCATGTCCAACTAAGCGATGAGATCGATTCTTTACGGTACAATGCAATTTCAATGTAATATTGCACACACCGTTTTATTTACGAATTACATGATACTTTCAGCATTATTGTGCTGTGAATCACAATCTTTATCACCGTGAATCACAATCTTTATCACCGTGAATCGCAGTTACGATTATCTTACAAGTCTATCAACATTTGTTTAACTCGATATGTAGTTAGAGGTTTGAAAAATTACATGAGACTTTCCGTAAGCCTTTAACTTCTGTTATTGTTATATCACCTCGGCTTTTCTACTATTGAACGCTCTATCCTACTGTTATTTTTGTAGCTCCGATTAACGAAGTCGTATCTCCCGAGCTCGCTCGTACGGAGAATTAGATTAGCGCCGAGTCATAAAAACGAAATGTTATGTCGCGCTTCGCGGCAGCTAAATTTGAATTTGACAATTTGTCACAAGGAAAATATCGCGGAGGTCAGGAATGCGCGGCGCGATAGCGACGGAGCAAAGTAACATTTCGTTATCGCGGGGCTGTATATAAATATTCACAGCAAACCATCGAAGGTCACGGCGTTGATTAGCGAGTGATTGTGCTGCTTTGACTTGATTTTCGACCCTGAAACGCGATGTCGCACAGTGGTCGAAATCGGGATCGTAGGGGACAAAAATCCATTACACGGTCAATTTTAAACCAAATCAATTGAAACTTGGCAGACTAAAGCATTTTGGATCGTAGAATCTGACTACACTGCCGAAATTTTGAAAATCAAAAATGAAGAATGAGAAATTGCCACTTAAAGTTATATTTTTTGGACTGGCTCAGGCCAAGCACAGGTATAATTGGGCAAAACTAAATAGTGGGTACATTGCATGAGCTAAAAAAGAAATACCCGTGTTTTTTCTTTTTCAATTTTGATTTTCTTTAAACAATTATTGTTTAAACAATTTTTATAAAATTTTCGAATTTTGAAAAACTACTTACGCCAATCGATTCTACGGGAAAAATTATGAAAGGAATATATATCACATTTTTCTATTCGAGTCTTATTTGTTATTGTAAATTTATTATAAAAAATAAAGGATAGAAAGTGGCAAACTCATGGACTCTGTACAATCTTTAAATCCATAAGCTTGCCACTTTCTATTCCTTATTTTTTTATAATAAATTTAAAATAACAAATAAAACTCGAATAGAAAAATGTTATATGTTTTTTTTCATAATTTTTCCCATAGAATCGATTGGCGCGTTATACCTGTGCTTGGCCTGAGCTAGTCCAAAAAATATAACTTTAGGTGGCAATTTCTCATTCTTCATTTTTGTTTTTCAAAATTTCGGCAGCGCAGTTAGATTCTACGATCCAAAATGCTTTAGTCTGCCAAGTTTCAATTGTTTTGGTTTAAAATTGACCGTGTAATGGATTTTTGTCCCCTACGATCCCGATTTCGACCACTGTGTGTCGGTGCAAAACACGAAACGGAACGAACGTCATGCGGGGGTGTAACATCGGCACGTTTTTCGATGCACCGGGCGCCGGGGTGTGGGCCGAGATGTTATATTCAAAGAGGAATCGCGTACGGGAGGTGCGATCTCGAATTGCAACAGGAAATACGCGGTGATCCGTGGTGACAGCGAGGATGGTGCTGTGTCGCTATGAAGTCACTCTCGTGCACTAGTAAACATGATTCACGTTCTTACCGCTCTCGTCCGTGTCTCTTTCTTTCTCCGCGCTCTCCTCCTTCCCCTCGAAAATCACGTAGAGCGTCCCGCCGTCGACGTCGTTGTCGCTGTCGTTGGATTTCGAGTCGACCGAGTGACGATTGTCGTTTGCGCCGTGGCTCGCTTTATTGCTCTCCATTCGCCTCTCAGCGCCGATGCTGTAACTCGACACCGCGTGAGCTACGACAAATTGCGATCGCTTAATTAATTGGACTTAACTCTACGCGCATGAACGCGCGCGTTATTCTCATCACTGAATCGCTCGCGCTTATCTCTCGCCTTTTTCTCACAAATACACTTGTAAGCGTAACGCATCTAGTTGTAATCCGCGTCATCATTTCTGACATTTCATAATTAACTTTCGGACATAGAGTCTAATTAAAAAATGATTATTACAATCCGACAATTATTTAGTATTTCGTTTAGATTATACGCGTCTTAATGTTCTCTCTTGCTTTCCGCGTCTCTTTCTCTCGAAAGTTTCTTTTTCTTCCTTTCTTTGTCTAAAATAATTTTCGAGTGTCGAAATGCAGCAGTTGCCGACGTCATATTCCCGAAGATGCACCTTCACCGGTGCATCATATCGTGCAAAATCTCAGGGCTAAAGATATTAACACCGAATAAACAACTCCGCCTGTCGCTCGTTAACCTGCATCGAGATACTTCACGTGCCGCTTGTTACGAGACCGCCGCGAAGTCGACGCGTGCCGAAGACAACGCCGTCGTCGGCTCCCATTGCGTCGCCGGCGCCAGTCCTGGGCTTCGTCGTCTTAGCGGATGCGTATCTCTTATCGGATACGAATATAATAGTGGGGGAGCCGACACGCTGAAACTGACGTACACGCGATAATTAACAGGTCACCGGTGCGCCTACGTTGTTTGGAACATTGTCTCGGAGTAACGAACATTACGTCGGCGATTTCGCATCGACGACAACTCACCGTGGACGTTTCCTGAGATGTCAAGCCGGAAAACGCGCATACACGGCCGGACGATCGAACAAATCCGATTGATATAATAAAGATCTCCAAAGCAATCTCCGAGCAATCTTCCAAATGGTCCCTCCTCTTAAGTAACGAGATTACTATCGTACGGCTAGCATGTTCGAGAGCTATTTCTGCCTATCGCCGCATTAATAATTAACTCGGCTCGGCCAAGTTAAATCTATTCTTGAGGCGGTATCTTAGCATTAACTATCGTGAAGTAGGTTCAATTATGGACGGGCTCGGAAGAAGTTGTGCGAGTTCATAAAAGTCGGCGATCCTTAATCTTTTACCTAGTCCATATATAACAGCACCCTCTTTGATGTACGAAGAAGGGTGATTCGTCAACGAAGGGATTTGATAAGACCTTAATCATTTCGCTGACTTGACTCACGTTTACACCGATGGTCAAACATTTCTACCGTTATCTCTTTATTAAATAAACAACAGGTTTCCCCGTTTTTCCACTGAATTGTACATACGACCAACATTTTACCGCCGCTTTGTGCTATTTTTAGCTTATTGTTAGGCGTTGCAAAGTGGCGAAGCGTAAAATCGATCGAAGCTCGGGCTTTCCTTTTCAGAGAGTGTGAAAGAGAGAGTGAGGGAGTGAGAGAATGTGAGAGGGAGAGAGAGAGCGCCGATATTGTTACTACAATTTCTTAAAGCGAGGCGTGGCTGATGCCTTTCTTCCAGAGAATCTCACGTCTCTACTTGCACCCGATTATCCGCTACTTAGCAACATCGACCAGATTTCGCCCCGGCTTTATGGATAAAGTTACTTTCATGCGAGAACGTATAACGAACCGCGCTTAAGATTGCTCTCGCGTTAACTGCAAATCCAATTTAATACACTAATTGACCGTAATTTTCTATACAGGCCGTATTCTACATTATATACAGGCCATATAGGCTGAACATAGTTCAGCAGATTTGGTGTTAATTTTATTGCACCGACCTTTTTTACCTTCGAAAACTGGTATATCGAGTTTATTAAATATTCACGATCGAGAGGACGAACAAAATACTCCTTTTTATTAATAAGATACCGGCTATATTAAGAGATAGCGCATGGAATGAGAATCTTACGAGGTTAGGTTAGGTTAGGTTAACGTCTCGCAAGATCTTGTCGGATAAACTTCATCTCCTATGCAAAATTTGGCAGAGACGCACACACACTTTCAAAGACACTTCAAAGAGACGCTCGATGCTGCCGGAGATGATTCACCGTAGACACGATCGTTTTTCGTCTGCTGATCCGTGCATGTCGTCATCGAAGGTCGCACGTTAATTAAAGACGAAGTCACGAGAGAGAGAGAGAGAGGACATTGTACGTACATACACACACGTATATATAAACGGTATTCATTATTTCTCACTGGCTTGTCTCGCTCGGGATCGGAGTTGCTGTGCCCACGTTTCGCAGATCACGTACGCTTTTCCGTTAAAGAGAAACGATTACGAAAACGGATTCCTACCGCCGGTGACATCGAGGAAGAGGGGCGGGAGGGGAGGGCAATTTAAGTCACGACAGATGAAAATCTTGTCGCCATTTTTATGGGGCGCGTGCGGCTGACGTAACCGCCGGCAATAAGACCGCTAAATATGCGAGAGATCCCGAATACCGTCCGCCTCTGTCCGCGATTTTTAATCGCCGGGACGTCGCACGCGCGTATGGCGAACGGTATCATTAGCGTCGTTACGACGTTATGCGCGGGGCGTCGCGTTTACGTAATGGTCTCCGTCTCTATCTTTCTCTCGGTCACGATCGCGAGTCACGTTCCAAGTGATCGATGTTTAAATGTTCGAACGCAATCGGCTACGCCCAAAATGTAAATCTTTCGCCTATGACCGGTGAAGCTCGCAAGGTTACGCGTTACGTATTTAGATTTACCGCGTGAAGTTATATTCACAGACTTCCCATATAGCACGCATGTCTAAAAGACAACTTTAAGACGACTCAAAGATGTCTTGTGCTGTATGGGTGCTACAGGGTGTCCGAAAAATCGCCTACTCCACTTCGGGACTCAAAAACAAGCAAAAAAGTTCATACAAAGTCCGGAAATGAGCCGTTTCCGAGTTATAGCCACTTTTATGTTCAAAAATCGTAAATTTTTATTTTCATTTTTTTTAATTACAATTTTTTTTAGTCTTTTTCAATTTTTCAATATTACAATTACAATTACATTATTTTTAAAGTAAACATGAACAGATATTTAAATCGAATTAAACAAGGTGTTCAAAATGACCACCTTCAGCACGAATGCAGGCCCTTATTACAAACATTGAAAAATTGAAAAAACTAAAAAAAATTAAAATTAAAAAATTAAAAATATAAATTTAAAAATAAAAAATTTTAATTTAAGAAATAATTAAGAAAGAAGGATGCCAAGCGGATTCTAAATTACAATTTTTGAACATAAAAGTAGCTATTACTCGGAAACGGCTCATTTCCAGACCTATGTTTGTATGAACTTTTTGCTTGTTTTTAGATCCCGAATCACCTCCCGAAGTGGAGTAGGCGATTTTTCGGACACCCTGTATACTACTAGACTGCTACCTTCGTGCTGAAATGTGAGGCAAGAGTTCCGCTATGTCTTGTTAGGTAAATAAATTACTAGAGAAAAGTCGTCTGTTATGAGACAGGATTCTAATGTGAGATAGTAGGTTTCCAACGTTCATATTCAATCACAAATCTTTTTTTTTCGCAACGATTACACGATTCTCCAGGGGCAGTAAATTCATGGTGGAACCAACAGATGATTCCTAGTAATTTTGCAGCAACTCTGCTATCTCATGCTACGAACCTGTCTCATAATAGGGGACTTTCCTCTATGTCACTGACAGACCGATGCACATATACTATTTTATTTGCCTAGCAAGACATGGCGGAACTCTTGCCTCACTTTTCAGCACGAACGTAGCAGTCTAGTAAAGTCCGTGGTTGTATTCCGGGCACACGCGCGTTCACTTCGATCGCGTCACGTGCCGGAACCCGATCTGTCTGTCGAAACGTCGATAGTCTTTGTCTCTGGGACGACGATCATACGATCCTTATCCGCTAATTTGCGGCGATAGGAAGTACAGCGCGTCTCCCGAGAAAGAGACACTGCGACATTGTATGTTACTCGTATCTGGCAATGTGCTTCAAGTGCTCATTAACTCCATTCCGGCGTACTTCTTGTTTTATTCCCGACGCGTCTATACTCTAAATGCGGTTTAAGACCGGTTTCGCGTGTATTTGTGCTTATCCTTGAAAGTGTCCGTCGCTAAATATGTGTATGAAAGATTTTATTTCGGGTAACGCGATACATGTTTTATTTTGCGCACATAAAATAGGTAATCGGTAGAAATGTGTCACGCGTTGACGTTGCCGCGGCACATTTATTGTGTCGTTGTTAAGAAGCGTCGTGTATATACACTTCGCGTCGTCTCGCACTGATAAACTCTTCACGCAAACTTTTGAACTTCGCAGCGGAAGTCTGCTTAAAGTCCTCGCGTTCAAGCATCTCCTCGTGAAAACGACTCCTTCTGTCGCGCGGATGTTGTTTGTAAAGTTTTACCTGGCGCGCAAGTACCGGCCGTAGTACATCGTGGTTACGGAGACATCGGGTTGATCGAAATATTTGCGAAACTCCTGCAGGCAGCAACGAAATCGAGATAAATCGCCGACGGTAGCGACGAATAATATTTCATGATATCTTCCGGATCTCGCGAAGATTACAGGAATAAAGCGCGATAAAGAAAAAAAAAACAATGTGTTACATTGCGGTTTTATTAACTTGGCCGTAAATCACAGCTTGCGGTATCCCAGAAATTAATTTGTTTTACGATATTACTTGTATCTTCGATCAACTTGTATCTTCTTTTCTTTCCTTTCATTTTAACATCACAGGTTAATTATAAGCTCGCCGCAGTATTTGAATTGCATTTTTCGCGATCACCTTTCATTTCCTTCCTGATTTTTTTTTCTCGCCGTAAAATTGATCCTCCGATTAAAAGATATCAGAATGATAAATATTGTAAGGCTCGATTATCACAGCGCGCTCGGGTATCATATCTCCCTTTCATCTCTCTCGTAAAATATATATGTATATCGCGTGATGAAATATTCCTCGTGCATCTACGCGTGCGTTATCGTAACGTGGAAATACACGCGTGTAAACGTAGCTCACGCGAGGTTTGATATGGATACAT